ACATACATGGGTAAAAATATATATTAAGACAGCTTTGTGCTACCTATATATAATGTGTGTAAACGTGTATGGCTTGGGTACGCACCTTTTAAGCACTGTCCTCATTCCCCACACACACCACCACACACACACACACACACATACATGTGTCAAATCGATATATGTGCCTTTATCAACGTTTCATCTTTTCTTACTAGATTTCACGTATTTGGAGAAAGCAAAAAGAAAGAACTTCTCGAAAATGCAGTAGGCAAAAAGAATTTGATGGTATCCAGTATAAATCAGAAGCGCAGTATCAGTTCATTTATATTATTCCTTCTATTTATACTTTGTGTTATGTTATTTAACATTTATGTGTCCTACAAGTTTTCCGATCTTTTATTTTTTTTGATAACTGTGATATTATCGGTGAGGATAAAAAAAAAAAAAAAGACACGTGTATGTTTGCATACAAACTCAACAAGTTTTATTAAGAATTAAAAAAGGAAAAAAAGAGAAAAAAAAAAAAAAAAAAAAAACTAATTAATAATTACAAAACAAGCAAATTACAAAAAAATGAAAATATCCCTTTCACTCTTCTACGCACATTTTAAAAACCCTTATTTGCAGGTTATCATACTTATAGTTATATATCTCATCGGATCTAATTTAATTCTTTATTATATAATGAAAAAATCAATTAAGCAAGCAGAACAAAAGGTGCAATTATATAACCCTGATGTTATCGTCGGAATTTACTTCGGGGCTGTGGTGGCTATGAATCTCAATTACAAGAATGGGAAGAAACCCCTCGTAAGGATAATCAAAAATGGGGGAGAAATATATGCTTACATGCACACGTAGATGCATCTGAAATATGCACTTGCATGTGTGTTAACTCTTTTCTGCCTGAATATGACTGTTTTTTTTTTTTTTTTTTTTTTTTCTTCTTTTTTAAATAAACCTCCTTCTCTTCCTCACTTCACCACCCGATTTTTCCACTCTGCAGATTCTTGTATCCCCTTCTGTGAAGACATTTCAAAAATTTACGCATAACTTAGAAACAGATTTGTCCACATTTCCATATGTAATAATTGTGCATGGATCAAGGGACACAACAACCCCCATAAGTGTTTGCAACAAGTTGATTTCTTCAATTCCTTTGGGAAAAGGAAGACTGGAAATTATAGAAGATGATCATTCTTATTCAAAGTTAAAGGAATCCGATTTTAAGTAATTAAAAGAGTGAATCAAAATGGGATAAACATTGTTGAGAGTTTAGAGTCCGAAGACGCATCAGTCCAATGGCAGCTCTTCTAGGAGTATATTAGAATTATATATTAAAATGGGACATGGAGAGGAAATTCGTTTTTATTTTTTTCATTATACTGTATTTGCTTCTTCACAAGTCATATTTCTCATATTTATTTCGAACACACTTTTGCTTATTTATTTTACTTTTTTTCCTTCCCCTTTTTTTTTTTTTTTTTTTTTTTTTTTAGGGCATGGATTAAAGAAGCCAATTATACTCCATCAACGAGTGCAGTTCACGTTGCAAAGAAATTGAAGGATGAACCGATTGGACAAAATATTCGAATAAACACAGAAACCCTCAGTGAATCTTCTTCCTTCGAAAATTACAATGCTAGAGAAGACGACCCCTTGGTTTGATTATGTCTTTTTGGTTGCAAGGAAATACCTGTATCGATAATCTAAAAGGTATGTCTGTTGGGTAGGAGGGGGGTGGGTGCACTCAAATGTGTACATAAAGGTGGATGTAGTGCCTATGCATATATATATATATATATATATATATATATATATATATATATATATGGGTGTAAATGTATATAAGCTTTTTACAAGTACGTTTGCTGCTTAATTAATACACGCGATAAGGTTTAGGTGGTATTGACAGATTATCCCCATTCAGAGCTTACTCTCTCGACATCAAAGTTTACACTTCGTGTACGCATGCTTTTATTTAAACGATTTAACAAGACCCTTTTTGTCAACTTTGGTGTGTGTCACACAAATAGGCATTAAAATTTGTTAATAATGAAATAAGGAGAGATAAAAAAATAAAAAACTAAATAATAAATAAATAAAATAAAATAATAATAAAATCTGGAATTTAAAATTTCGTCCACCCACTAAGTGCAAAACCGATGTATAGTTTTCTTATCCATTTTTAGCTTCACAGAAAGTGTTCCTTGTGTGCTTTTTTTGAGGCACATAATTTGTGTATATATATAATGTCCCCATATAAATCCACTACTATTATTATATACAATCCCTTTTTGCAGTTGTCATTTTTTACATGCATTGTTTTATGCCTTGACTCTTCATATAAGGTGTTGCCACTCTGAGCTACAATTTTAAAAATAAGTACTCAAGGAAGAACAAAAATCACAATAAAAAATGGGAAAAAAAAAGGGAAAGTTAAAACCGAAGCTTTTCATTTTTCTTTATGTTCCTTATATATACCATTTAAAATACGTTCTTTTTTTTTTTTTTTTCCTTTTTTTTTTTTTAAAATGTTTCACAACACTGATTTTTACTTTAAAATGTATTGTTTTAAAATTACACATGCAAGTGTACATTTTTTTTTTTTATAATGATTTTCTTTTTGATCTATATGCCTAAATCGATTTTATAAAACTTTGTTTTTTTTTTTAAACCAGGGTTAGCATTCATATGAGATAAATTAGGAATTCATTTTTGCAAGTCTTTTAAAAGGTGAGGCAAAGCCAAATGTGGCGATAGGAGTTGTGATAGGAGTTGTGATAGGAGTTGTGATAGGAGTTGTGATAGGAGCTGTGATAGGAGCTGTGATAGGAGTTGTGATAGGAGTTGTGATAGGAGTTGTGATAGGAGCTGTGATAGGAGCTGTGATAGGAGCTGTGATAAATTTTGCAATAACTACAACGCTAAATTTAGTTGCTCTTTTTGCACTTGGGAGAACTACCCGAGCGTTCAAATGTACTAACTGCATTATACACCACCACACTTCACAAATTGGAATTTTGAAAAGCATATGCATACACTGAGATAGGAAACGAAGGATGAATCTGGTTTGTGCGAAGAGATAGAAATTGCTTATTATCTATTAAAGGGGAAAAAAACGTTTAACTCATTATTGGAATTTTTTCTTCACAATTTGAAAGCAAACATGCTTATGTCCCTTATTGGAATTTTGTCTTCACTATTGGATTGAAAAAAATGATTCATCATTTTAGAGAAAAAAATTCACTGAGTAGGTATGTATCGAAGCGTTGCTGGGGAATGTTCCCCCTTGGGAATAGCATCTATCAGAATCATAGATGCACACTATATGCAGAAACTTCATTAAAGACTTTGAAAAGATTCTACAACGGTTATAATGAGAAGTATTCTTCACAAAGAATTAGATACAATGAGAATTATAAAAAAAGTGATAAAGAAGAACCATTTAAAGAAAAAGATAAATTTTATGAAAATGGTAAAGAGGAAAAGATAAATGGATTTATGTACTATCCAGACTACAACTCTCCTTTTCCGTATGTAACAATTTGCATTATATTGGGGATGGTAGGAATTTCTTCATTCATTCAACTTTTAATTTATAATTTAAAAAATTGTAATGATGAATCGAGCATCATATTACAAGTAAATGAAATCTTAAATTATCTAGATAACTATTTTATAATTCACAACTTTGAAGAACCTCCAAAATGTGAAAGTAGCAATGAAAATGGAACATTTAATATAAAATATTTAACTTCTCCATTTTTTGCAAATGAAAATGTACTACAATGTGCAGTTCAATTATCAACCTTTTTTTTAGCTTCTCGATTTCTTGAAAAACATTATGGGTCCCTAAAATTTGGCACCTTATTTTTATGTGGTTCCATATTTTCCAATCTTATTACTTATCATTTTTTGAAATATATTGTTAAAAAAATGGAATCATTAAATTTCCTAAATTTTGTTCTTATACACCCATCTGGATCCATGGCTTTTATATGTGCTCTATGTTCCATTTGCTTCAAAAATTGTGCAATTTGGAAAGGTATACCTGTGCACTGTTCTATTTTAGTCGTTCCCTATTTGTTTTCTTCCTTTTACGGTTTCTTGTCTTTATATAAAATTAGGAAACACAACTTGGAAACATCACACGGAGAAATGGGGTCTAAAAAGGCTGATGCAAAACAAGGAAACTCTCTTCTCAATATGGACACGAAAAATTACCCTCATCAAGGTTCACAGCCATACGGAGCAGAATATGAAGTAGCAGATATGAACAAAACGAGTTGTGGTAACACGAATGAATTAATTGACCCCAACACCAGTAATGAGAAAGAACGATCATATGGTCATCTGAATCGTAAACTCATGGAAAATGATAAAATTGTTATTCCTTTGCAGGGGAATCAGAGCGAAGCCCTAAACACACTAAGGAACTTCTTAATTGTAAAAGCATGTGATGCCATTATAAAGAGGAGAAAAAAAGAAAATATGTTTTTAAACAAAAAGTTTCAAAATATGAAAAATGAAGCGTTAAGAAATATCAATGAAATTAATAACAATTCGAAAAAAATATTTTTTGGTATTTCTTCTTCTTTTACGGATATATTTGGCATCCTCCTAGCCTCAAGTGCAGCTCTTCTTTTGAAAATTTTAAAATGAGCTTTTGTTTTTGTCCTCTGACTCCTGCTAACCCACTGCCGCCACTGCTATCGCTACCGTTACTCGCAATAAATGACAGTCCAAAAATTCGGACATGTCGAAACGTATGAATAAGCAAATTGAAAAACATGACAATGAACAAAACGGATTTGTTTAACTTAAACATTCTCTCCCAGTTGCGCATCTCATTTTACCAAAAAATGGACCTTATTCATTCTGTGATTCTAATTTAAAAAAAAAAAAAAAAAAAAAAAAGAAAAAGAAAACTACTGCATATTGATGTGTAAATTATTCTCAACGCTTGTGTTTTAGCCTCGCTCTGTTTTTGTCTGTGTTTGTGCCTGTGTTTGTTTTGTTTTGGTTTTTTTTTTTTTTTTTTTTTTTTTTTTTTTTTTTTTGCTTCATAGCTCTAATATGTGTACCTTTTTACGATTAACACTGAGAAGGACTACACATAAACACAGAAATCCACATGTCCACAAGGAAAAATGGTGAAATATATCAGTTTCCCCCCACACACACACAAAACGCAGGGGCACAGTGTGTAACATTTTTGCTTATCTCATCTCTTTGGTCCTATTTTCATTTTTAACGATGAAAAAGACACTTTCCTCTTCAGAGTTATATGAAGTGATGCGTTTTTATGTTTTGCAATTTCATTGGCGGACATTCTTTTGTTATCATAATTAAAATGAGATAAATCTGCATTGAGCACTTTTTGTAGAATTCCACTGTTCTCGCTTTGGGAGAACTTGTGCTTGGATTTTTCTGAAATTCTGATTTCCTCCTTTGTTTTGTTTGAGTCCAAGTGATTGGTTATTTTGTTCAGATGAAAATCATCCTTAATTTTGCTTCCACTCTGGCTTGCAGTTTCGCTATCTACATCGCTTAAACCACGTTCACTAGAAATGGATTTGTTAGTCTTCAAGAATTCTCTCTTCATTGAATATTCCTTCAAGCTTCTACTTATGGAATAGACGTTTAAATTAGTGCTGCTATCCCTATCCCTCAAACGTCTAACGGTTTTTAGTCTGTGTCTACTCTCTGTGTTATTACTTTTGTTTTCTCCACCTCCTTCTCTATCGATCTCTACATCAACTTCCATTTCCCCATAGTTCTCTCGAATAGATGCAAATTCTTTATTTTTTACGTGGCTTATTTTTTTTGTTTCATCTTTTCTCTCTTTCCTTTGTGCACTTTCCCCTCCACTTGAATAAAACTGACTGCCATGTTCGCTTCCATTTTGACTGCCATGTTCGCTTCCATTTTGACTGCCATGTTCGCTTCCATTTTGACTGCCATGTTTACTTCCATTTTGACTGCCATGTTTACTTCCATTTTGACTGCCATGTTCGCTTCCATTTTGACTGCCATGTTTACTTCCATTTTGACTGCCATGTTTACTTCCATTTTCACTACCACTGTCAGTGTCCCCTTGATTTGATGATCTTCCTGGCCCCATATTTCTCGCGAAATTGAATGCATTAAACAAATTGGATAAGTATGTGTTAGAGTTCCCCTCGAGACTCTGTAACGTTCAGAAATTAGTTATAGGCTCGTGATGTGATTAGAAAAGACATAGTTATAGTGTACTTACTAGCACCGAAAATTATAGCTGGTATAAGAAAAGGTATTGCACCTTCATTATATCATGCATCGTCGCAGGTGCCGTTTTTTTTTTTTTTTATTTTATTCATTCATGCTATGGAATATGAACGTATTGCAATGGATAAAAGCATGCATGCAAAAGTAAATAAATAAATGATTAAATAAATGAATAAATAAATGAATAAATAAATGAATAAATAAATGAATAAATATATGAATAAATAAATGAATAAATATATGAATAAATATATGAATAAATAAATGAATAAATATATGAATAAATATATGAATAAATATATGAATAAATATATGAATAAATATATGAATAAATATATGAATAAATAAGGGTAAATTCATGTTGTCCAACTCATTAAGACTATTTTTTCTTTTTTCAAGTTACCTTCTTCGGACTTTTCTCCCTCTGTGGTATGTTCACTTTATTCATTTTCCCTGAAAAAATGAAAGGGACACTTGTCATGATAGTACATTTACAAAAAGGGGATGAGGTAAATATGCTGTCAGCCCCCTCCATCTCTAACCGAAACACATTCATTAATATGCCACCACGGTGGGGGGTGAAAAAAAAAAAAAAAAAAAAAAAAAAAAAAAGAGCTAAATTTAATTCCTCATACCATTACTTGTAAAGGTTCGATTTCTCAACGAAACTTCCTTTCCCTTCAAATGATCTGAATTAATGGATCTGCCTTCACTGGATTCTGCATCTTTTTGGATACCCAACTTTTCACCTATTGTTATTCCCTCATGTTTATAGCCATTTTCAGCTCTAGTAGAAAACACCTCATCTAATTGCATACCACCAATTTTGTTTAAATTAAATAAAATTTCTTTAGAATTTTTTTTTTTTAATAAATTATTAAACTTTTTTTTGCTTTGTTCTTTCATTTTTAGAAAAGTTTTTATTCCTAATGTGGGAGATATTTTTTTAGCTTCCCTAACATTTGTTGTATCATCCTCCAAATGTTCATTTGTTATACTAATATATTCATTACTCTTTGGAATGCTACTAATACTAACTTTCTTCTCTACTTTTGAATTTTTTACACAAGATATTTTTTCCTTTAAAATAGGAACGCAATTTTCCATCTTTAACGAAGACCCTTCGATTTCCAATAAATTCTTTCTTTGTTGAGGATGAGGTTTACTAAATGTGCATGTCTTTGAAGTGTGTTCATTTGTTGATCTCAAAGAATTCGATTCATCTGAACTCATAATCCCAATGTGTAGGTTTTTTTTTGTTAAAATTTGTTCTCCCTGTACAAGTGTACTTTTGTGTTTTATTGCTTTTCCATTTATTTTTGTCTCTTCAAAATCGGAAGTTTGTTCTTTTTCTGCACCCATTAGCGTCTCTTCCTTTTGCACTTTTGAAAGAAAATATTTACTTTTCGTGACATTTTCATTCACATTACTTTTTGCAAAATCCTTTTTAAGAAAATTAATTTTGTTTATATTACTTTGTTTAATTTCTTTTGGAATAAATTTTTTTGAGTTCAAAATATTTTTAGGAGCATCTACATAATTGTCTTTACTCTTTAAAATTTTCTCTTCATGTATTCCAATTCTGTATTTGCTATTACTCCTCATTCTGCTAATGCTTGGGATTTCTTTTCCAATACAGAGAGGAATTACATTGTTTACTTCATTCGATATGTCCTTTTCGTCTTCATCTTTGTTTTGGGGTGCTCGAAAAACATTTGTATCTCCTTCAGCTGCTACATTTTTGGAATTTGCACTTCTGAAAACGGATACTTCCTTAGAATTTGAAACAGGAGTTACTTTTCCTCCTCCTTGTTTTGTTGAATATAACAATCTTCCTAAAATGTTACTATTCTTTTTAACTCGATGAACAAAGGATGCTTTCATTTTTGATTCATTCTTATGGATTCCCCCTTCTTCAGCATTGGTTCCCTCCTCCTTCAGCACAAGAGAATACTTTCGCAAGGACTCTCTTAACAGATTCCCACTTTCTTTAATTTTCGTATGACCTGTTAAGAATTTATGTTTCCTTTTGTTTTTTTCAACAACCATAGGATAATTTTTACACAAACCAGTATCATTTCGATGAGGACAATTCAGAACGTTAAGCATTTGTGAACCGAATTCCAACATATTGTCTTGATACATATCATCATTTTTTAAAATAATTTCAGTCAAAGAAGGTTTGCAAACACTTGGATTTCTGGATGAAATAGCTCTTAATTTTAGACTCAGCGGAATGTATTTCCATATGTTATGTAAATGTAACCATTGTTTGTCATCAAATAATACGGATATATACTTTAAATCATTAGAACAATTTTCCCACAAATGACGGTACAGTAGCCATGATCTATTGTTTGTTTTTATGCATAACCACTTTAAATCTATTTTACATAATTCCCATCTATCACTAATGGTTAACCATCCCTTATCATTCGTTTCAGAAGCAATCCATTCTAAATCTTCTAATTTATGTGGAACTATTTTTTCATAATTTTCTTCTGTCTCCTCTTTGGTTATATTTTCATTACTATTCATCACATTTTCACTTTCTATTTGGGTTAAGGTTCTATGTATTAATTTTGTGCACTGGTGTATTTTTTTATCCCTCTAAAAAAAAAAAAAAAAAAAAACATCATCATATGTTTTGCTTGATTATGTAATGAATACTTATGCACACATAGCTGTACGATCTGTTCGTAAAAGAATCTACTCGCACTAATCTAAATGATGTTAAACTTATCTTCCTACCACAGTTGTCGAATTCAATATGGAATGAATTAACGGAAGGACAGCCAAGACTGAAAATGTAAAATGAAGTAAAATATGCGTGTTTATTTGTGCCTTTAGCATAAACATATTTATTTTCATATTCAAACTTATGTTTTTTTTTTTTTTTTTTTTTTTTTTTTTTTTTTTTTTTTTTTTCTTTTTTTTTTTTTTTTTTTTTTTTTTTTTTTTTTTTTTTTTTTTTTGTTTGTTCTTTTCCTCGATTTATTTATTTTATTTCATTTTTTTCATTTATTTGTTTTTGTTACCTGGCTTGTTTACATCCGTGCAGATATACTCCACTATGTTACATATGGCATTAACAAAAACGTTTATAAGTTGTATGTTTATTTCACCTCCATAAAGTTGACTTTTCTGTAGAACATATGAACAAGTTTTTTTTTTTTTTTTTTTTTTTTTTTGGATAAGTTTGATGTGTTCATTTGTTAGCAGAAAATTTCTCATCTAATTATTACTATTCTACTATAATTTTTAACTATGTGGTACTCTCAAAAAAAAAAAAAAAAAAAAAATACTATTAATTTGTTATTTTTTTTCTATTTTACATTTTTTTTTTTTTTTTTTTTTTTTTTTTTCTTTTAATTTTTTTTTTTTTTTTTTTTTAAAAAAAAAAAAAAAAAAAAAATACTATTAATTTGTTATTTTTTTTCTATTTTACATTTTTTTTTTTTTTTTTTTGTTTTTTTTACCTTTAAGTTTCGTATTTGGTTTTTATACGAATACACAGAAATTTCATACTTTTTTATTTTTCCCGTCATTCTACAAGAGAAAAAACAAAATAAAAAAAAAAAAAAGACAGGAATATTTTAAGCAAAGGGGATGGGGAATGGGTTGTGACACCTTTTTTCTTTTTCCTTTTTTTTTTCTTCCCCCTTTTTAAAGATATTTCTCGTTTTAGTTATACAGTCTCTTATATTCCCTTAGTTCATTTAACTCCAAATAGTCTGCGTGGTTATCAAAAATGTTCTACGAAAAGGGGTAAGTAGACAAGAAAAAAAAAAAAAAAAAAAAAAAAACTCGTGTATAATACTTCACATATTTATGTATATGTTGTGCTAAGCGTTATTAATACATAATATTTACATACGTTAGCATTTCTCAGAGGATTTACTCTTCTTTTATTTAAATTATAATCTTTGTAATTCCTGGCATATATAATGAAAAAAAGGAAAAAAAAAAAAAAAAAAAAAAAAGATATATAATAGTAATGGTTTATTAGAAATGTATTATCGTTTAAACCCTTTAAAAGTTATATACATCTCTTTTCAGCAGTTACATGAACTCGTTTTCTTCTAAGGTGTATCCTATAAACTTTCGGAACAAAGAATGGTTATTAATTCCTGTCTACGACAAGTTAAAAAAAAAAAAAAAAATGATCCCCTGGAGATAACGAAAAAGTGCACAAATGATTTTTAATTTAACAGATCTTTTATTTCTTATTCGCTTAGGCGTCTAATTTTTATTTCTTTAATTTTAAAAAGTATATGCTCCTCTTCATGTAGAGGAAGAGAAAAAAAAAAAAAAAAAAAAAATACATATATATGTATATACTTATATATGTATATAAGTTAACCATTCTTTGCAAGACACACGTTTCGTATTTAATTTCTTTGACACTGTGGCAAAAAACAGTTGTACCCCTTTCGCATTGATCACTGGTATAAAGAGAATTTGAAATGTGACCCAATAAATTTATATAAATGTTGTTATATCGAAGACTATAAGTGATTTGAAAAAATGCAACTTTTTCCAAATGGTTCAAAAATATAAATATGTCCAAGCATAACAAAAATAGCAACATGCACGATTGTTTATTTTTCATATGTCTTGTTTTGCATCTTCAATAGGAAAATGGTTTAAATCAGTAGGAGAGATATACTCACGGAAAGGCTCTTTTATTTATTTTTTTTCTTTTCATATTTGAGTAATTTTTTTTTTTTTTTTTTCTGTTCATGTTTCTTATAAAAAAATATGAACATATAAGAATTAAACCCGGGGAAAAATAGAAATATATGGATGAATTACAAGACTTGTACAAGTCCATTTACAACAGTTTGCAGCAGCTAGTGCAGCATTCTATCGATGTTTTCTCTTTTCTGTTGCTCTAATTTTTTGTTTGAATTGCATTATTCGGTTTAGTGCAGCCTAGTTTTCTTTGGTTTAGTTTAATTTTGTTTCATTTTATCTGATTTAATGTGATTTAATCTGATATGATCTGTGTTATATTTTTACTATTTTTTCTGAACAATGTGTGCACCAAAAAAAAAAAAAAAAAAAAAAAAAAAAAAACTATACATCCATCATAAAAAAATGCACAAATGCATGAATGAATTAAAAAAATAAAGTTTTTAACTATTTGTGCCTCTACAAGTGGAAATATGAGTAAAAACGAAAACAAATTGTGTGTATGTCTATGCATACACTGGATTAATCCATTTTACTGTTTGATTTCACTCATTTGGATTTAAAATTTTACGAGTTCTTTAAAAATGAGGCATATTTGTTTCGTCTCTTCATTTGTTGACAAATGAAATGAAGAAAAACAAGACATGCGGAAATGGTATTATATTAATGAAAAAGAAACTGAACGCAGTGTAACATAAAAGAATGAAAAAATTGTATTAAAAAAAAAAAAAAAAAAAAAAAAAAAAAAAAAAACATGGTCACTTATCCACACAAAGTAATGAATATTTGTTCACTTAGTGTCTTAATGTTTTTCCTGCTCATTAAAAAATTTGTCCCTCCTTTTTTTTTTTTTTTTTTTTTTTTTTCCCCTTTATTCTAAATATAAAAAAAAATAATCTACTATAATGTGGCTCAAGAAGAAAGATAAAATGCATGATCTTTCCTCCACCCCTCTTACGTTTGGAAATTGTTTTTACATTTAATGCTCTAACCTTCACAAATAAGCATTTTTTTTTTTTTTTTTTAACCGATAACAAATTGAAGAAATGTAATTCACAACCTTTTTCATATACATAACAAATTAGCCCTGTGTTTCTATAGCATCTTTTCCTTTATTTTTTTTTTTCATCTCTACATAATTGTGAATTCTTGAAATGTTAATTTCTGTGGTTGATATTTGTTCATGTAGCCACTGGAGTTCTTTGTCCTAGTTTAAAAAAAAAAAAAAAAAAATTAAATAAATCTGAGCGTACATTTATTTCACATAAACATTTAAGGATATCCTGAACTGTAGTTACTACATCTTTTCTCTCCTTCACACAGATGAACATCCTTTTTTGAGTTTCCTTTTAATATGTAAATGAAAAAAATATGAACAAAAATACGTTATATATATATATGTTTGTGTGCGTGTGTGCGTACCATTTCTTCGTACAGATTTATCGCCCTGTCCAAGTGGTGGTTCAATAAATCTACGGCTTCTTTAAAGGGAAATTCAACCATTACATTAGCCTAGAAAGTGCAGGGTCAAACAGGAGGGATATTTGTGACGAATCTTAAATGGACATAATAAAAATGAAAAATGATTCGGGTCTTTGGTTGATTAATATTCTGATTACCCCTAGCCAAAGTAAAATATAATCGGTTTTTTCGACAACTCCCTTGGCGTATAGGGACTCTTCCAACGGGAAGTACAATTCCAAGTTCTTATTTTCATTCATCTCCTGGCAAAAGTGTAATGTGTGCATAAAAATATATTTATAATTAAACATATGTACGTGTGTATATGTATGTATATATATGCACACACCTGCCGATGTGAGATGGAAAAAAAAAAATGGATAAAGTTGGAGAAGTAGACATTAAGCAACTGAAATAAGATTACGAGAAAGTTTTTAGTTATTAATAAAGTAGAATTATCTCAAATATGTAACAACGGTAAAATTACAAGGACGAACCTTTCTTTTATAAAGAGCGTTTACTACTTTTAGAGCATCTTTTAATTCGGGGATTTTCTTCTCGGTGTTCATCTGTCTAGTTACAAAAGTATGTTCCATGAATTTATATTTCCTGAAAATATGGTTAATGAAATTGTCATTAGGCGGATGTGAGAAGCATTTCGTTATTATTATTATCGTTTTTTTTTGTTTTTTTTTTTGTTTTTTTTTTTGTTTTTTTTTTTTTTTACAAATGAATTGCCTTTACTTCTACGCATAAACTATAGTACGAAACACAAGCAAATAAGAGCGCATACAAAAGTGGTAGATGTTCTTCTAAGCAAACGCTGTACTTACAATAAAAGCTCCTTTGCCAATCGGAGAACTGTTTCCTCATTTTTATTTTGTAAAAATTCTGTTACATGTTCCTGAGGAAAGAGGGGAAAACAAAAAGCAAAATAAAGTGGCATAAGGAAGGATAACGAATGTGTAATGCTGCATAAAACAAAATGAAACACTAAGGACATTATTTTGTGTATAAACTTCAATATAAAATCATACAAATTGGGAATTCTGTGCCAAATTAACCACATATACTCAGAAAAAAAAAAAAAGTGCTTCTAAAATTATTCATTTTATTTTTCTCATTTCTCTAACTATAAATTTTGCCCCCGGGATGTTCCTAACAGACCTTGTGTTGTCCGTCAAATCGTCAAATGACATTTTTGCATATAACACTTAAGGACACGTCAAAGTGATAATATCTACTTAATAGTTCTACAAATTGGCTGTAATTGCGCTAAGGACATGTTTTGTGCGCCTTATAGTGACAGTGTGTCAATATTACAGCAGAGTAGAATTTCGATAATATGTACATACAAGATAAGATTCGTAAAGTCACACTTTTTTTCATATAACTGCTAGCCGTAAAGAGAAACTACTGCTTCTCATTTGTATCATTTTTTGAAAAGTCTCATCGATCTGGTAGTGAAAAAACGAGTGCCATGATTTGTTGCCACAAATGGTGTGAAAAAAGAAAAAAAAAAAAAATGTGCATACATGTATAAGTGCATGTTTTTTTTTTTTTTTTTTTTTTTTCTCTTCCCAATTTTAAGCTTACCAAATAACAGCTGAATACTTGAAATTTTCTTCTTAAGTTTCTGCATTGAAAACCGCTCCTATTTGCTTTTAGTTTTTAACACGTGTACGCAAAAAAAAAAAAAAAAAAAAAAAAAAAAAAAGGAATGGCTTACATGGCATGCGCATTTGTTTTTATTTACACTTTTTAAACTTTTTTTTTTTTTGTGGGGGTTGAGTAAGTATTCTCATTAATTTTAAATTATATACATACATAACGAAGGAAGAATATGTACACAATTTTGAAATGGGATAGAAATTTTCTAAATTCTTTACCTCTTTAATTTGATAAATTTACACATGTTATCATTGCAAATTTTGTATGGATACTTTTTTTCTGTTTTCATATTAAGATCTCATCGTAATACCACACAAATTTTGTATATTTATATATACAATTAGTGAATGCATTTATATATACATTCACATATGTAAGAACATGAATGTACATATGTGAATGATTCATTTTTGTAGTTATTCAACGAATCCATGTATGTCCTTTTCAATTCCCCTGTTTTATTTTCATAAGATTATCACTTCCTTTCAACAGAGAGCAAACATTTTTAAGTTCTTAAATTTGAAAAGAGAAAAATAATTTACTAGATTTAACGTTCACAAGATGGGTCTATATAAATAGTAAAAAAAAAAAAAAAAAAAAAAAAAAAAAAAAAATTCACACAACATATATATGCAAGCTTTTCATCTATTGTAAATAATTTTTTCTTTTAATCAACTGAAACGTTTAATCATTATTTTTCCATTCTGCATAAATGTGAAGTATATTCTCAGTCTCTAAGAGGGTTGCTTGGATATTATACGTGTATATTCCCCTTTTCCCTAAACAGGAACGGCAAAAATGTGCATACATATATATATATATATATATATATATATATATATATATATATATATATATACACATAAGTCTCCATTCATGAGGAAGTAGCTTGAAAAGTCATACTAGGAACGTCCGTCACAAAAATGTAAAGAAATGAAATTATTTAAAAAAAAGTATTCATATTAAATGATGTTAAGATTAAACAACCAGAGAAAAAAAAAAGAAGGGATATTTGTCTTCCACATATTTTTTGGTATATTCCTCTCTTCATTATGCTTTTTTCATTTCTTGTCACTTCGTTATGTTTCATTTTTTTCCTTTTAATTTTACGAAAATATGCTTTTATTTCGTGTATATACAATATATTCAAAAGGAAAATATTTGAGAGACGCTTTCTTGTATCCACCTCAGAAAATAAAATAAAAAAAGCAACCGAGGATTGGGAGTTCCTGTCAAACGTTACGCGTAGAAACATTCTATCTTAATAAACGGCTTGTACTAAATTGGAATATATATATATATGCACATGCAAAGAGAAAGGGAAAAACAATTTTCATTTCTGTTGTTCTTTTCTTTCGCTCTTTTCGCACCTGCTTTCGTTTCTTTTCTATTTTGTAAAAGAATTCGTATCTCTCGCTTCTTGACATTCATTACAGGTAATCTAACTCCATAATCCTCATTCGTGCCCATTTGAGCTTTGGTATTTTTCTCTATATATATGTTTTTGAAACATTGATACATAAATCTAAGTACTACTACCCCACTCCAACCCCAATACCACTTACAATAACCACAGAAGATGTTATTTTTTCTGTTTTCGTTTGAATCAAAAATTAGCAGGAAAAATAAAATGCACTTAAATATCTACTTGGAACATGTTTACAAACTGTACAATTTTTAGTATGAACATTTTTATTGGCTCTCCATTAATTTTTCCTTCTTTTGGATTGTAAAAGATTTTCAACTAAAAAAAAAAAAAAAAAAAATTAACAAAAATGCTGATATCCATTATTAACCGCAAATAACATTTTCCCACCAACTCCCATTCGAATGCAATCCCTATGACTTATGACACCACAACTTGTTTGCATAACCCACAATCCTGTATTAAATCGTGTCCGGAATTTTAATTCATGTGGTGTTAACCAAATATCTCTACTGGGTTTCGAAACAACTCGAATATTTCTTATAACCTAAAAATAGGAAGAAGAAATAAAAATCTGAAATTTATGGCAAAGGTGGGGGAGAGAATATATAAATTCATAATTTTTCCTTTCTTTTCGCTCAGAGGAAATAATTTTCCAATGTGTTTCTTTTCTTGATGCAAATCGTACATAGGAACAATATACTTGGTACAAGCTTTCCCCATGCACGTAACTGTAATAAGCAACTGTATGAGATGTGTTAATATGAGTTATGTCTTCCACATAAAAGGTGTACGTGAAATGTTCGCAGATGTAACCACGCTTGTGCACAGACGGATGAAGAGGCGAAAGAATGGATAGATGAACCGACGGAGGGACGCATAGATGAGCGCATGGAAGAACGCATGGAAGAACGCATGGAAGAAGATTTGATTGAGCGAGCGTGCATGGTAATTACCGGGGCGCCTTTATAATGCTTGAGCAGAATGTCGATTTTGGTTCCCTTGATAGCAAACCCTCTAATAAGTCCCTCCTTCTGAAGCAACTCAAGTATCTGAACATTCAGAACGTGGAATGGGCACTTTTGTGTCATGGCATCAGTTCGTAGCAAAGATACTACCATTTCACATGCTCTCTGCATTTTCTCTTTTTCATGTATTATTAGCCAGAAATGAATGATAAAAATATGTTATTTGGCATATTTAAAAATAGTCTTAATTAAAATTCATTTTAAAGCGGTGTCTCTGTGTTGTGTGTGTGTATTTTGGGTAATCGTGAAGACCATGTATACATTAATATGGACCTAAAAGTGGTCTTGATGTGTTCATATAATTTAGTAGCACATGAAAAAAAAATAAAGAAAAAAAAATTGTGGCTCGGGATAAAATTTTAAAGATTCACAAAAATAAAGTAAAAGTTTATTCCAATTTTTTTTTTAAATTAACCCTTTGTCATAAAAAAAAAAAAAAAAAAAAAAAAAAAAAAAAAACTATATGTATTTCTGCTAGGTTCAGTTCAATTCAACATGTTTTAGCTTTTTTTTTTTTTTTTTCTTTTTCCACTTTCCTCGCACTTTTTTTGGGGAGGGCCATGTTCTATACAGAATAAAAATAAAAAGCGTGGAGTGTACTCCTCCCCCTTTCAGCACTTGATCTGTGGTTAACACTCTTTTCTTTACATATACTTATTTCGGACTTTAGATTTACACACGTGATGATGAATACACGAGGTTTGTTATAATTTGCATATAAATCCCATCTTTTTTATATTTCAAAAATGCCTTTTTTTTTTTTTTTTTTTTTTTCTACATATATGATATGAGCACAAGTTGGTCATTTTTATGTAATTTTATATCTACCTTACTTTCCTTGGGTTTTTTAATTTGTTCATTCCTTGGCTTGTTTTTATCAATGAGAAATAAAATGAGAATATTTTTTTTTCATACATATAATCAACCCACCACCACCATTTTCCCCCTACTAGCTGCTCCCCCAAAAAATAAAATAAAAAAGTACACGTGCATATACACAATGATTATGAACAGGATGAGAGAAAACAATTTAGGTACGTGTCAGACAGCGCGTTTACATGTAGCAACACATATAGTGGTAAAAATTAACTGCACCATCATGCTTGAAATTTCTACAATATAAATTTCAATACTGTTTGAAAAGTTCCGTTCCAATGGATTTGTTTTTCCATTGGGTTAGATACATCACCTTTTAATGACAACATGGTGATTTTTACATTGTTGAAGCTGTTAAAAGAGAGCGTTTAAAAAAAGGGTGACATATTCATCCCACTGAAGCGAAATTCATATCCTTCATATCGATTTCCTTGAAAGAAAAAAGAAAAAAAAAAAAGGGTTTTTTTTCATGCTCAAAAATGTGTTGTCTTTCATTGCAAAATTATGGATTTATACACATTGAGGATAATCCCGATGGTGCATTGATGGCAAAATATGTTTCCTATGTGTGTGCATGTTACCATGAAGTGTACCCCGCTCGTCTATATCCTTAACATAAGGAAAGGGTCTGAATGAATTACTGGTACTTATGGAACATATTTATTTCTCAATTTATATAACCTCTTCCCTGCCTTTCTTTACTAAACTTGAAAAAAAAAAAAAGTTTAAATTTGTTCACCAGGGAAAATATAAGTCCTTATTTTCTTTTCAGCGCTCTTTGCTGTCATACTTTCTGGCATTTTTCCTGGCGCCCTTCTATGCATGTTTTTTTTTCTTGAATTCTTTCTACTATAATTTCCCTGGCACTATTTCCCTGTATTTTCTCTTTTTGCTTTTTTCACATAAAAGTTAACTCATCAATAAAAATAAGCATTATTTTTCACAAAAATGTTAAGGCTTATTTATTTTTCATGATCATGTCACTATAATACCACACCGTTGCATGCAGAATAAAATTGCTAAAAAGGTGTCAACAAAATTTTATATATATATATATATATATATGTCTTTTTTTTTATTTTTACATTTTTTTATGTATACACATTTCTTCCCTTTTCCTGCGCACAATTTTGTTTACTCTAATTTTACAACATATATTGTAATATATTTTAAAATAAAATTTGTCTTTTTGTGGAAAATATAATTTTTTTTTTTTTTTTTTTTTTCTTCTCTTTTTAATTGCTCTTTTTTAATATTCTCAAAAATGATTTCCCAAATATTGCCTACAAAATGGTGAACCCGAGCAAGTTTTTCTTTTTTTCTTCTGTGTTGATTACTTATTTATTGAAGGTACAAACTCGTGTAGGTGAATTCTAGATCGAATTCAATTTATCTACTATATGTGTATGTAAATATATAAATACATGTATATGTATGTATGTCAGGCATATGAAAACTTATTTGTGCTGCTATTCTTTTTTTTTTTTTTCGTTTTTCATCAGAATAAAGCAGAAGCAAATGGAAAAGCGGAATATGGAAAAAATCCAAGGGTCGTCCCCTCTATGAAAAGTACAGAGTGAATGAAAAGTGATATACTTTTCATACTGAAACGAATGAATAAATGAATCAAAAAAAAATTTACTTTCTGAATGCATTAGCTCGATACACTGCAAAAATAATAAAAAGGGTTAATATGAGCAGTGGAAATGTACACACTTGTTCATTTATACAAATGTGTGGCTCTCACAAATAGGTGATAATGAGATAATGTAATAATGAGATAATGTGATAATGAGAAAACGAAAATTGTTACCACCCTTTTTTTTCCTTCCTGCCAGTAAATAATAACCCTCAAGTTAGCAAGAGCACAACTGTAAAATTAGACAACTCGAAATTTAAAAGAACCCATAAAAATATCCTCAAAGCGAGGAAAAGGGGAATTAATTTTGTCGCTTTGAATTTACAAAACATTCTGGAATTAAAATCGAATGACCCGTTAAGCCGAATAAACAACATTTACTCCAGAAAAAAAGAAAATTGTAAAATTTAAAAAAGCCATCTATAATTGTACCCCCAGTATATGTTTTCCCCTCTTTTTACCTCTGTTTTTTTTTTTTTTTTTTTTTTTTTTTTGTTTGCTTCGTTAGTTTCATAAATATATATCCATTTTTCTCCCCCCCTTTTAATCAGTCCTTTCCGCTTGTTACGAACATGGAAAAATCAAAAATGCGAGTGCCTGTAACAGAATTACTGCTACTAAGCAAATTTGTGATATGCCTCTTGACTTTAACCTGAACTATGTCTTTTCTGTCAAGGAGAACAACGACCTGCTTTCCAAATGCCTTGTAGACAATATTCCTGAGCATCGAATAAGAAGTTAAAAATTTTCCGCTGCTCTGAACCATTAACTGATCTATACCACTTCATGGAAAACCACGTTATGTCTTTTTCTCTTCCTTTCTTTTCTCACTTCCAATTTTCTAAGATAATAACCACGCGATAGTCGAGTCAGAAGATTTTTTCGATTTGAAGATTCTAAACGAAACGGTTCTCTTGAGAAATTCGATTATCATTACGGAAGATGCATGCACGAATAAAATAAAGGTGCGTAGTCCTTATTTTACATTTGAAAGTTCCCCTAACCCTTTTGGTAGTCCAATATTATACAAAGGCGAAGTAATTGGTACCGAGTTTAAAAACATAAAAGTGGAAAAGAATGTTGAAGGATTATTTAACGTATGTTCATGCCAAGTTGACAATGTATATAAGAATTATAATAATTGTGAACTAGCCAATAAGCATTACACACATATTTATACTCTTCGGGTTATTATGAAACCTACACATATTATTAATGTCTCCACAGGAGAAAAACTTGATATTACTTTTAAAGAGTATTATACACCATTCCCTATTAAAATGGCCTTTATTATTGATATGATAAGTGGTTACAATTGCAACAATATTAACGACAAATCTTTTGCTCAAGTCCAGGAAGATTTCTACAAAAACAAAAAAAAAATCAACTTTTATGATATTTTTTTGTACGAAATTGCTCCAAATGAAATAAATGAAGACATAGTTTTTGAAAATCCAGGAAAATATTTACTATGTTACACCTCCAGTGACAACGGGACTGTGTTCTCGGCTCTACTAGCCAATATACATGTTGATGGTTAATTTTTTGCCCATCTTTCACAATCTTCCACATCTAAACATTACATTTTCGTTGTTCATTTAGAAGCACGCGGTATATTTGTGTACTTGACTCTACCCGTGTGAAATCGCCTATGCATATACACCTACAAATACGAGTAGACATATACATGTACATTTGTACTTACCATTTATATTTATAATTATATCTACTATATATTTATGCTATATTGATACATATATATTTGCATTTGTAACAATGGTTTGGCCCCCCCCACCCCCATGCTCGCATCCCCAGGGTACAACTTAAGGGAAGTCAAATATTTGTATGCAGATCTTCATTCTGTGAAATTAAACCTGGGACATTTTGTTATCCTTGAAAGAAAAGGATTAAAAGAACCATTTGAAGTTGTTTTTAAAAGAAAAGAGGAAAAGAAATGCTCAGGAGAAACTGTAATTCAATCAAATATTATATCGAATTTTTGGCAAGACGAAGATGAAGAAGTAGCTATGTATGCAATACATGTATTAAATGAAAAATTAAATGAATATAATGAATTACTGGATATTTGTGCTAAAGAACATGATGAATATAGCTTAATTGGGCATGCAAAAGTAAAACCGTATATTTTACACACGTACAGAGATATCTCTTATTTGTATAATTTTAATGTTGTACCTGAGGATGTTAGAACATATGTAATACAAAAAGAATCAAGTTTCTTCAAATTCTATCCTTATATGTTAGAACACATAGAGGATCATAATATAGATGAGTTATACATATCCTTTTTATGCTATCCAACAAAAAATGAAATAGTTGCAACATATAACTTTGATAAAAACATGACACCCACATATTTTGCACATTTTAAAATATCTCATGCTTCTGGTTCTATATTGTATATTTCAGATGATGAACTGAAATTATACGTTTTAAAAAAAAATTCTCAATCCTTATTTGTATATGATATTAACCCTGAAAATGTAATGACAAAAGTAGAGGCTATAGATAAGCCTGTAGATGATTTATTTATGAATAATTTATTAGCATACTTTTGGGATTATGCTGATTTTGAAAAATGTGAAAATTGCTTTTCACCTATTATGATGGAACCATTGTATGATGAAAACAAAAATGTACAACTTATTTTTTTAGTAACATCAGATCCAGATCACAAATTAGTGATAATAGACCTAAAGTTTCATCCTGTTTACGTGCATGATTCTAATGCCGTAAAAGATACATTTGCAGAAATTGATGCATTAAAATTTAGTCTAGATGTTTTAAAAGATTCATCATACCTTATCACTAATATTTCTTGTGGAATTTTAAAAAATGAATCTTTTGATTGTTTCTTAATTGATCAAATGAATAATTCTGTAATAGCAGTACAGTATGTGAAAAAACAAAATGTGCTAATTCTCATAGATACTTTTCAAGGAGAAGGTAAAAGTGACATAAAGGACGAAAATGTTCACTTCCATGATTTTGTCTTTAGTCAGTTTAACACTTATTTGCAGAGACCCAAAAATGTAGTACCCTTTCCTTATGAAGACTCTTACATTCTATTCATTGATGAGGTTAATAGCATCTATGGCAGTATTTTCGAATTGTGCCAGAAAAAGAGGGAAACAATTGAATATTCCCAAAAGAGGAGTGTGAATGTATGCACAGGCGTGCTTTTTTAGCATATTATTAATTCTGTTAAAAATGTAAATTTTTTCTTTATGACTTAGTATGCACATCTATATGTGTATACATACTTCAATTTTTGTGCTTTTTTCACGTCCTGCCATTCCCCATGATTACAAACATACAGGATGAATCCAATGAAATAAACCTAATAGTGTACAGAAAAAACAAACCGAATAACAACTTTTCCTATATATCCAAAATAAATAACACATATATTGATGATGGAAAGGTGCACAAAATATATAAATTTTATGATCATAAAGAACTTTTTAATAGAAATGCACTTTTAATAGTAAAAGAGCACGAAGGAAATGTAGAATTAGTATACGGTCCCATACGAAATATCAGCAATATGACAGAATTAAAATATAATTATCCATACATTATACAAGATAATGGAATTCCATATGTATTAAAAATAAAATCAAATGAAATTAAAAAAATTAAATTGCTTCATAATTTTGAAATTGTTGTGCATAACGTTAATAAATCACAATATGTTACAATAGACAAATACGATGGAACTATTAATATAAAATTATCAGAATTTATTGGAGATCCAGTTAATTTAAGTGTTAAGGTCTATGGAGTTTTTATAGAATTAAAAATAGACATAAGTTTTAATGTAATTTGCGCCGATGGGATGAAAGCACTAAATGGAAATTGTATCCCTTGCCCAGTAGACTCATATAACAACATTAATGAATATACGAAAAATAAGAATATCTACGAATGTAGCAAGTGTCGAGAGAATTCAATTACTAAAAGTGAAGCGTCCACTTCTATGGCTCAGTGTTTATGCTTACCAGGATATGAATTAAAAAGCAATGGTATATGTGTTCCTTGTGCTGTGGGGACATGGAAATCAGAGCTTTCTAATAGCCCTTGTATTTTTCATTGTTATCCCAATTCGTATAGTTTAGTAAGGGGTAGTCGCAGTGAAGAAGAAAGTGAATGTAAATGCTTAAAAGGTTATTATTTTGTTTCTAAAGATGGAGTAAACTTTTGTGAACAGTGTGATATAGGTTACTTTTGCCCTGGTGAATACAAAGGCAATCAAAAAAAATGTCCAGAAAATACAACTAATGTAAAACAACAGAATTTTTCTATAAAAAGTTGTAAATGTGATATTGGTTTTGAGCCCTTTGATTCTTCAAATTTAAATGATTACGATTTTAGGAAAAATCCTATTTTTGATGATTACAAAGACTTCGAAAAAGAAATAAAAGGTTCTCAAGTGTGTGTGCCGTGTAAAATAGGATCATATAAAGATACAGTTTCAGAAAATAATTGTAAAAGTTGTTCTGCGCACGTATTTACAGATGCAACGAAGTCTACTTCTATATCTGAATGTAAAAAATGTGAAAAGGGATACTATTTGCATGCACAAGATTCTTGCTTGCTATGTCCAGATAATCATTATTGCCCAGGTTCTAATATAGAAGACCCAAAATATACAATTTATGAAAATCAGAAAGTTCCCTGCGATAGTAAAAGTTTGACAAAACCTCCAAATGAATTAAATGTATCACACTTAAGCTGTCTATGTAAAAAGGGATTTGAATATATAAAAGCAGAAGATAATGAATTTGACTGTTTAGAAGTACCGAAAAATTACTACAAATCTAATTTAAGCAACACAGAAAAGATCCCCTGCCCAGAAAACAGTATCACATTATACACACAAACACAAAGTAAGATTAAATGTATATGTATAGAAGGGCATTATTGGGATATTAATGAAAAGAAATGCATTAAGTGTCCTAAGGGATATTATTGTCCCGGTGGACATCTGAAAAACTGTTTTTTGAAGGACACTTTACATCTTTGCATACCTAAAAAAATAAAATGCCCTATAAAAAATACAACAACGAAAGCTGAGGGATCTTTAAGTGAATCCAGTTGTCTTTGTGATAAAGGATATACTTTAAGTAAAGAAGTACTCCGTGAATGCGTTCTCTGCCCAGTTAACACTTATAAAGATGTTGTATCAAATGCAGAATGCACTATGTGCTTAACTCCTTACACAACAGATGGACAAATGGGAAGTGCAAAGGAGGAAGATTGTACATGTTCAGGTGGTTACTATTTTTTTAATCACTGTTTGCCATGTAGTGATAAGAATACTTATTGCAAAGGGGGGAAAATGATAGTTAATAACAAAAGTAAAACTATTCATTATGCTCCATCAAAATGTCCGCCAAATACAGTCGTTTCATTTGAGACAGAGAGACCATATAACCAAAGTTTTTGTGTTTGCAAAAAAGGATATAAACATGTTTATACAGCAAATAATTATACAAAAATATGTGCACCATGTGAACCCGGATTTTTTAAGACCGTGATCGGGGATTTTTCTTGCGAATCGAAATGTAAACCTAATTCGACAAGTCTCATTGGAACGACGCATGAAACACATTGCTTTTGCTTAAAAAATTATTATTTCAAATATGGCATTTGTGTAAACTGCCCCGATGGTGCATATTGTGAAGGTGGCTTCCATGAAGAGACCTTGTTAAGCATGAAAAAAAATGAAACTTCATTGGACCACTCAAAAATAAAGCATGTAATGCCTGTTCCTAAAGAAAATTATGCACTTTACAAATTAAAGACTAATATATACAACATGGACTGGTTCATTGTAGAATGTCCAATTAAAGAAGCTTGCTTATATAATGAGAAATGCCATGAATCTATGACAAATTTTTTATGTGGGGAGTGCAAAAAAGGATACACAAATAATTTTTCTAAACTAAATTTATGCATAAAATGCAGTGGTAATATTACGAATGTTCTTCACATTATTTTCGTCAGTATTTTTATCTTATTGTTTACAGTTATTATGGCATATTTAAATGTCTTTACAGGAGACAACAGAAAATCTGTTCATTCTATAGTTATTAAAATCGCTGTTAATTATTTTTCTTGTATGAAAATTTTTTATGTCGTGGGAACAAGCGAATTATATTTTCCATCAAATTTTTCATCCCATATTAATTATATAATTCAAAATATTAAAAGATTGCTAAAAGCAAAAAAAAATTCTGGTCTTTACTGTATATTAACAAGTTATTTCGATATATCGCATTCAGATGCTTATTTTTATGGTATGCTTTTTTATGCCTTTAGGCCCATTTTGCTTGCAATAACACTAACAATTTTAGTGTATCTTATGGTAGAAATATATAAATTTAAAGTTAGGGATGAAACAAGAATAAAGTTAAATGTAATAGACAAAATCAAAGAATTAGGAAAAACGGAACTGTATGAAGAAATCATGAAAGAGCTAGCATCAGAAAGGGCTTTGGTGTTGTTTAGATATATACCCATACCTGGAGATTCCAAATTTAAAAGAATAAGAAATTTTCTTGAGGATATGATTCCAATGTATGTCACATTATTATTTTTTATTCACACGAAAACTACTCATTTTATGTTAACGCTGTTAGATTGTAAAGGAATTTACTACAATGATAAATTTGTAGAGCACTATATGAGCTATGTCCCTAGTGTGAAATGTGATTTGTCCAGGACTTATGCAAAATTCTTTATATTAGGCATGGGGGGTATAGTTGTGTGGGGAATTGGTATTCCATTAATGTCATATTTAGTGTTGTATAAAAATAGAAAACATTTACATTCAGAAAATATTTTGTTTAAATATGGATTCTTAAATAATGGTTTTAATTTTCAATTTTGGTATTGGGAGTCTATTTTCTTTTTAAGAAAAATTTTGATTTTGTTAATATCATCAGTTCCTGTTTTTAAAACAGCTAGAATATTTGGCACAACTATGTGGCTATTTACCGTTATTTCATTTTTTTTTCTTACAGTGCAGATGATACTTCAACCTTTTGACTCTAGAAATTACCACATCTTAAATAAATTTGAAACTTATAGCATGTTTACCTGGACCATGACTCTAATGATTTTTGTTTTTCTAACGGTGTCTAATGCTAATGCAGCTATAAATTTCTATGTCTTGTTATTTTTGCTATTTTTTAATTTTATATTTGTAGCTAGAGTTTTGATGGCTCTATGTTATTCATATATAGAAAATTTAAGGCACATAAAAAAACATGTTAAAATTCCATTCTTAAGTAAATTCTTTGAGAAAATGTCAAAGATTGCTGAAGAAAAATATTACAAGGAACCTATGGTCTCCCTGAACACACGTGACAACTCAGTTGAATTTATGAAAAAATATAAAAGATATCCTTTACGCAAGTATCGCTTATTAACGAATGAAGAAAAAGACTATTTTCTCAATGTTTTATCCAATTTTATATATTTTGGTGTGTCCAATTTAAATTTTACGGTTTTTCATTCTTATTTTATGGAATTTGTGTTAAGGTTATCAGTAATTAACAATGAAATACTTCACAAAAAGGAAAAAATCGGAATTTTAAAATTAATAGCCAAAGACCCCCAAAATATAAATGAGTGGATAAAAATTAAGGAATCAGAGTTGAGTAAAAGAACATTTTTCGAAAGACATAAAAAAATATTAAATTTATTTACAAAAAACATGTTTATTATTCAAAATAACATCAAAAGAATTATTTACAAAGGAGACAAGCACACTATTGTTTCTGATTATGAGGTGTTGATTAATGTCTTAAAATACGACGAAGATTTTATAACTGACTTTAAATTCTTATATGATGAAAGTACGGTGAAATCAGGATTAACTCTTTCTGACTTACAGTTATCCTTTACTAAAATTAAAATGAAAGATAAGAAGTTGATTATGCAGTTATTTTCACTATTTATTGCTAAAAAGAATATTGTACAGTTTGAAAGAGATATTCACCTTAAGAATAAAATTGAACAACTTAAATCTTTATACGACATGCTCATAAAGTCAAACGAAAAGAAAGAAATTACATTTAGAAAAAATTTTGAAAATGCTGTTAAAGCAGACCCAATGGATTATAGGACATTACAAAATGAATTAGAAATACTAAATGATAGAATAAATAACCTAATTGACAGTTATCAAAGGCTAACAGATGCCAGTCATAATGAATCCAATTCAAATGATGATATAATTATAAAAAATGACTCAGAATTTTTTGATAATAATTTAAAAGAACTCAGTTTTAAAGAACTTACTAGTGATGATGAACAGAAAATGGGAAATACCGAAGAAGGGGATATTATGCAAAATGATGAAAATACAGAAAATTTGAATTGTATAGATGAGGAAAAAAAAAATAAGATGGAAGAAGAATAATGAAGCTAACAATAAAAAATCCTCAATCAAATTAAAGGGTAAAATATTTAGACACAAAATGCGAAAAATTTTTATAAAATAAAAATTTTCCATTTTATAACAATTATGTTTTTAACAAATTTATAATTAAAGCGTATTTTTGCATTTGCGAATATGGATTTATAGCTCTTTTTGTGGAAAAGAGATTTCATATTTCCCTTTTTTTCATTTCCTTAAACTTGAAAGTTTTGTTCTTAAGCATGTTTCAACGTACATATTGCTATTTTGCTTTTTCATGATCATTGTTTTTGTTATCAATAAAAGGCTTCTTTCGAAATTATAGTGTGTTTTCGTAATTTAGTAAACTATATCTATACATAATAGTTACTGATTCTTACAGTACATATATAAAGGAAATTTTAAAGTATAGAATTTTGTTCAAACTACCCTTTTTTGAAATGTCTATAAGTTAAATAACATTTCAGCTCTCTAACATGTACATAAGGTTAGCTTCACCTCAACACTGCGTAATAAATATAATACATTTTTCAATTAGACAGTACATTTAATAAATTTTTTAATAAAGGTCAATTCTAACAAAGCAAAATGCTCAGTAATTAAAAATATTACAATTAAGGAAATTCGCACATGAATAATAAAATTTCAATATAAACTTCTTCGTCTTACATTTTTAAAAGTTATATTTGCTTCTTCTCTTTAACATGAATAATGCAAAAATAAAATTCTTAAACCTTAATTAAAGCACTAGAAGGCGAACGTCAGAAACAAGTATACGAATTAACGCTATTTATAATCGCATATACTTTGCAAATGTAAATGCTATATTTTTAATATAAGTTAGTGTGTGTACCGTTACATGCAACGTTTTTATCTGTAGCAAAAATAACTATACACGTATGGTCGTGTGTATTTAAAACCCTTTTTAAGTAAAAAAATTTATATTCTCTATTAAAAAAAAAAAGAAGTGTCATAAGGTTTTATTCTTGCTTATATTTACCTTTTCCCCTGCCATAATGTTCGTATTCCTTTAAAAAATTAAAAATAAAAGTATGTCAGATATGCAAAATTATCTATACAAAAAAATAAATTATTTTCCCTTTGTTGCTTATGTCAAATAATTTTTTCACTAAATATAATATTAATTTTATTTTCCCAAAAGAAAAAAGTTAAAATCTCATTTGTTTAAAAATATATATATATATTACAGTAAACTTCAAATTACATATTAATATAAACAACGTTTATTAAATAAAATTAAAATATATCTTAAAAAAGCTAAATAAAATAAATTATGTGTAAATATAAATAAAAAAGTTTTACAATTAAATATAAATATATGCAATAGTAATAAAATATAATTATTTAGAAATAAATATAATTACTGAATTAAATATATTATAAAAAATTAAAAATATAATTTATTAAAATGATATTAAAATAAATAGTTTAAAATTATATTATTATATTAAATTTAAATAAATAAAAAATAGTTTAATTAAAATTAATTAAATAATTAATTAAAACAAAATATGTTTAATTTAATAAATAAATAAATAATAATAATAATATATATATATATATATATATATATATATATATATATATATATTTTTTTATTAAAAAAACATTTATTATTCATTAAATTAAATATATTAACTAATAAAAATTATATTATAAGAAAATAATTGTGTATAATTAAAAAAGGATAATAATATCAATAAATAAATATAAAATAAAATATATGAAAAATTATAATAAACCATTAATTAATAAAATTAAATAAAAAATATCCATAAAAGTAAATAATTAATAAAAAATACTTATATATATGATTACATTTCATAAATATAAGACTAATAAAATATATTTATTTTTTTGTAATATAAACAAAATAGTAATATATATATTTATTTATTTAAATTTTAATTAATTAAAATAATATTTATTTTTTTTGTGAATTATATATATAATATATCTTCCTTTTTTTTTTTTTTTTTTTTTACTAATAAATAATATCATAAAAATATAATATTTATTTTAACAAATATATAATTAAATTAATTTAAATAATAACACGTTATACTAAATGGTAATTCTTAACTAAAATACATTTTATTATTGTAATTCTTAAATAATAATTTAATTGTGTATATAAAATAAAAAATATGCGTAATTAATAATTTTATTAAATAAATATAAAATTATATTAAAAAATTAATTAAATAAAATAATTAATAAAAGTAATTTAATTATTTTTATATTATTATATATATTATAATTTATGTATATTACATTTAATTGAAATATTAATTTATTATAAATTAACTAAAGTATGTAAGTATATGTATTTAATTTAATAATTATTTATTGATTTATTAGTAAAACGTTTTAAATTATTTAAATTAATTTAATATATTAAACCTTTAAATTAAATTAATATAATAAAATTATATATTTATATATTTATTTTGATGAATATATAAAATAATTTAATAAGTACAATAATTATATATTTAATTTATAATTAACATAATAAAATAAATAATAATGATATTATCACAAATTATTTTTTTTATTTTATTAAAAATTGTTATTATAAATTAAATATATATGTTTTTTAATTCAATTATGTTTATTTATATGTTAATTTTTTATAGTAATTATATTAATTTTATAAATAATTAAATTAATTAATATATTATTATATTTAATTAAAACAATTATTTAAATATATAATAAAAAATTAATTAATAAAGATATTTTGTTCAATTAAAATAATTTTTAATTATTTAATAATTAATATATAATAGAATTTTAATTTGTAAAATATATTTTAATTAAAATAATTTATTTAATTGAATAATTAAAAAAAAAAAAAAAAAAGGAATAATTGTTTATTTTTTTTGTTGTTAAAATATTGATTTTATTAAATTATCCATTTTAATAATAAATAAATTAATTTATTTAATATATATAATTTGATTAAATTAAAATTAAGATATAAATTTATATATTCTTTATTTGAAATTAAAATATTAAATACATTATTTAAATAATTATGTGGATATTATAAATTGCATTTATATATTAAAATATAAATTTTATAATAAATAAATTGAAAATATAATAATATTAATTAATATTATTTAATTTAATAATATAAAAATTAAATATTAAAATAAAAAATAAAAGAAATGAAATAACATTGCAAAATCCTTTATATAATATTTATAATTTTATTTGTTTTTGATATATTTCTGCAACATTATATTTATTCAATAATAGTCAAAACATATAAACAAATTATTATGTAACATATTTAATACAGATTCATATTATATATATTTTATTACATAATAAGAATTTTAATACAAAGAATGGATGTATTTTTGCATATCATTATTGTGATAACTGTAAAAACTATACAAAGAAATTAATGTTGCAAATAGACAATTATACTATACAAAAAGGAAAATAATTACACTAGAATATTATTTATTTTATGAATTATTTGATAATTTTTTTTTTTTATTCATGTGAGGATGATTAAATATGAAAGAAATAATTCCTAATATATATATATATGATATAAATATGGACGAACAATTTAAAAGTATCAATGAATTAGCATTATATAACGTGAAGATTCTACATACGTATTAAATTTTGTAAGAAAATATTGTCTAAAAAAAAAGACTTCTGCAAAAGCCTAATTCGGTACCTCACAGCGAATATTTGGTATATTAGTGTCTTGTAAATTTTGCTATACACGCGCATATTTAAACGTTTCTGTTTATATATTGTAAATGTTTAATATAGGTGAATTTTTATATTTTACTCATTCTCCTTTATAACATTTGTGGATTAAATATGCAAATTTTTAGAAAATGAATAATTTACAGTGCTGTGTAAATATCTATGCCTTTGATACACATAGAGCAAAAAGATTAACATTAGAAAGAAAAACAATAAACAGCTTTAAGATAGAGTAGGCCTTACTCGTTTACTTCCTTTACGCACTAGAAAATGATGCTGTACTACAATAAAGACTATTTTTGAAAATGAAATCTAATGATATTTCACAGAAAAGCCTTTCATATAAACATTATTCCTTGTATAACACATCCGAAAGAATAATTAATGTTAGTTTTGATTAAAAAAAGCATAATATTAAAAAAAAAAACTTTAAGGAAAAAAGTGAACACCTTTAAAAGTACATTGTCTTTGCTAACTTGAAATACAAGTCTTTTTTTACGCTTATATAACTTAAGACTTCAAAAATAAAGTATGATGTATTAAAATTTTATGAATCTTTGCTTGTTTATTTTATAACATGAAAGTTGTAAAATTAAAGATGTGGGACATTAGATTCATGTGGTCTTCTTCCATTAAAAAATCACCAACAAAATTGAAAGAATATGCAGATTATTCCCAGTAGTAACATGATAACGATCTCATTAAATGAAAGCATTTTTAACATTTTATTTTTTTATGCAAACATGAAAAGTATTGTAGAAAAACATAATTTCAAACATATTAACACATGAAATTTTGTGAAATTCTTTTATAGACTTTTTTGAATGTATATACTTAAAAAAAAAGGGAAGTGGAAAGATGTGGCAAAAAGGTTCATTTTTTTAGACACCACTATAATGAAAAAGGCATTTTTATAAAATAACTCATATTAGAAAAATCTTGTTTTCATATATTTCTATTTTTTTAATTTACAAAGGTAATATTAATTGCCATTTACCACCATTTTTAAATGCGTGTTTTTTTTCACCTACTCTCAATGGTATTAATCTAAGGCTATGCCCAAACAATTCATTGAGCTTTTGAAAGAATTATAGTTCTATTTGCAACAATAAGAAATATAAGTAAACACGTGAGTATATTACACAAATACATTTTATAAAAATCTCCATTTTTCATTGTCTCATAAAACCTTTGTAAGCCTTAAACAACCCCAGAGTTGAAACAATAAAATCTTATTTGTCAAG